TTTCATAATTGCACGGCACTATTTTAAGTTTGTGTTTACTAACATAAAATAAACAATAAAGTTCATATTAAAATATATCTCAAACTCATTTATTAAGCAAATATCAAAGATTAAAGATTTATTATTTTTTTACCACATTAAGACCGACTGTACAAAGTTTAACGTGTTTAATACTAAATAAAAGGTTTTAATGACCTGATAAACAAATGAACTATAAGCGATGACAGTAGTTGCTCATCTGTTTGTCTAGTTCTGTGTGTTTTAGTGTGAGTGAATGCTGTGACACAGTTCAATTTATGATTTTCATGGGAGACACAATAAATTTATTCATTCTTGCACAACATAAATATTTATTATATAAACTATGTACCTATTTCTATGTACCTCGCACATAATTTAAAAGCATGTGTGTTTGTTCTGAAATCTACATTGGCGGAATTACTTTAGTATGTATGTGTGCGATGTTGTATTGAGTTCCTTGCGTTTGAAATTTTTTTTTTTTATCTTAGGAAAATATTTGTTATGCAATGTCTATAGTTTAATATGGTTTATTATTGATAATTTATAGGAGTATTGTTATGAAAAGGGAGACAAAAAAACAAAGGAAAGATATGTCATATATATAAAAAAATAGAAAATGTAATATAATTGTAATGTCCATATGGATTGATGAGTATGCTGTGTATGAAGCAACCCTATGTAGTAGGGAAACACTACTTTCAATAAAGTACTTCTCTCTGTAAAAAAAAATTATTGTTGTTTTTTATTCTTACTGAAGGTGAAGTCAGTGATGTTATTTTTAAAAAAATATGATAGGCTGTTCTTCCTTTAACGACTTTCGTAATCATATATTTTAAATTATTTAATTACTTTTTGCTATACTGGTACTCCAGAGGCAATAGCCTGGGCAGATGACGCCCCTATTCCATCTCCTCCACTTCCTCCTGGTAATGGATAAGGTGTTATATGGGTCAGCCACGCCGCTATTAAATTCTCAACGGCATCCTTTAATAATGTCCTTGTTATCGGGATAGTTCTTCGTCGCATACATATAGGCCTCTTATCACCTTATAAATATTTTGCGTTATTATATATAGGATTAATAGATCTAACTTTGTTTTTCTTACAAACATCAGAAGGACTCTACCTCCGTTTGCTGGGTCATATTCTTCTTTTTATTCAGAGAGAGTAAAATAAAAAAAAGTTTTTCATAACAATGTTTGTGTGAATAAAAACCTCACAACTATTCTATTTTCATTAATTTTCAGGTCTTAAATGAACTTAAACGTAATTAGAGAACCACGTGAATGCCCAAAAGGAGGTTTCATAGGACAAGTTGCGCCCTCAAAATCTATGAAGGGCATATTTTGATGGGATTTTGAATTTTTAAGGGGGCACATTTCGACGGGGATATGAATTTTAGGATTGAAAAGTTTCATGATTGGAAACAAAGACAATAAATATGAGTAAGCGTAATTTTATATGATCTACGGTAATTTCATTTTTAATGTTTTTAAGGAGATGAGAGCAATACAATATCTTGAGAAAAGGAGGAGGGAGGTTTATTCACCAACTATCTTGGTGTGAATGGCATCCCTAAACAACCAGGTGTTAAAAGAAATCAAATTGTACGTCATATATTTTTTCACTGTGGTTGAGTAGTATCACTTTTTAAAGAGTTGTCTTAGGGCCAAAAATTGTCATTTTCTTTTCGTATTTGATAGAGTTTATTAATTTCTTTGCGTGACTCTTATCTTATCATTACTCCTAGAAATTTTTATAAAAACATATTTCGGGATCAAATTGGACCTTAAAAAATCGGCATAAAGTATTATAAATTAACGATTGTTTTATTTATTTTAGAAAATTCTTTAAAATATTTTTGAGTTTTCAATTTTTATTCTTTAAATTATCTTTTTATCTATAGTTTTTTTTTCGAGAAAAGTTTTTTTTCCCATTAGTATTCAATTGGAATGTATAATAATAGTTCTTAAGTATTTTTTTCTAAAATACAAAATTTGAGAGCACAAAAACATTGGGAAAAATTATTCGTAAAGTATATTTAAACTCAAAATTTATTTTACTTTTCATTAAAATTAATTCTAACAAATGATCGAATTAAAAAAAAAAAATCAATATGCAGGTATTTCTGTACGCATACAGTTAATAACCAACATTTTGTTCCATCTTCGACGGATGTCAGTTTTAAGCGATTTCATGGAATTTAAGAAAATCTAAAAATTTATTTTATTTTTTTTCTCATATAATTAAAAAAAAAAACCATATTCAATATCATGCCATAATAAAGCCTTATTATTATTTTTTTATTTTTGTGGTGTTTTCGCGTATGCTGTAACTCATTTATTATTAATTTAAGAAAAACAAAACAATTTATTTAAATATTTATACAGTATGAGAAACCTTGAAAAAAAATTCAGTTTGTGTTATTACAGAAGTAGAAACAGAGTGAGTGAGAGAGAGAGATCATCAGGCACATCATTATTTTTCTCTTATGTTTTCTGGGTATTTATCTCATTGCCCGTTTTTAATTAAAATGATTAACGATATTGATGAGAAGTAGCTAAATTTATTTTTTATTATTTTCTTCCATGAATTATTATTTATTTATTAACTATTTATGTAAATAGCTAACATACTCCATGTCATTTGTTATAATTTTTTCATACATATATTATCCACTATTCACATGAATTATTTCTTGAACCACTTTAATACAATAATAACATAAAACAAGGATTTTAACGTTTTTCCTTTTATGGAGTAAAAATAAAACTATAAAAAATAAGTTATAAATTCATACATGAACTAAACATAATCTTAGAACCTTTCGAATTAATAATTACCAATAATCTTAGCTCCTTCTACTTTACTTAGCTTTATATAATAATCTTATACACTGGAGAGTAGTGCTCCTCTTTCCTAATTCCCTTGAGTGGTTTGCTCTGTACACTGGGTACCCATTTCACCACCGATGAAACCATCTCTGCAAACTTTAGTAAACAATGCAAAATAGATGATAATCTGAATTTCACTACTTTTATAATGGAAAATAAAGCTGTTTATTAAGACTCAGTGGACGTTACTTAACATTTAAATTAGTATCAATCATATGGATGAAGTTTTGTTATTATTTGTTTAATAACACCGAAAATTCTGTATTTTACTTAACTCAATATTGAACCATTCTAAATGAAGAAATGTTTCACTCATTGTTGTATTTTAAATTATGTCAAGTTAATTATACCCAGGATATTTAAATCGAAAATAACTCTTTCCTTTTTATTTATGACTTCCCTCACTTCATAAAATTTTTCTCACTTCCATCTAAAATTTAATGATATAGAGAGAAAAATAAAGTATTTCTTTTTTCCCGTAATATATTGAGTAACGTAGCTGTTAATGAATAGGGAGGACAGTAAGATACGATATATGTATGGCAATAGTGACAAAAAAATTAGTTGAAATTTACATCCAACATTATTCCGTCGCCAATAACAGCCTCAAAATATTTTCGATTAAATTACATTATTAAAATATCTTATGTCTAATGCATTTATCAGTGGTTAAGAGAAAATTATATTCCTCAAACCTTCAAAAAATAATTTTATTTTCCAGTTTTCAACTTCTTCGGCATCTCTCGAGTATGAATGTTGAGTCTGAAACAGAGTGCTATAAAAATATTATTAAAAATTACGACTGACCATCATACAGTTCATTGAGTCAACTTCATGAATATGTAAATTAATACATAAAAAAACATTTAAAACACAAATATTCCTTTTTATTTATTTTTTTATTATTTAATAACTTTAACGTTAGTCTGTACCTTTACCTTCAACACTTCGGTGTTTTATCCCATCATGTGGAAAACAGCCGACATTGATATAATTTTAATATTATTATGTACACTTCTATAGAGCTGACATCAGTGTAACATTTAAAACTGCACCAGTTATTTTGTTTTTATATATGTAGAAAGCTATAAGAACATTGCATGAATGCTTAACTGTGACTAGCTGCTAAATCACACAGTATATTCCTTAGCCCAAGAGATATTATTTAAAACCAGAACAAAAAGAGCTAGTTGGAAACATTTGACTCAAGAAGATATGTTAAAAGACCGGTGTACAGAAACGAACAATCGAAGTCAAAACTTAGTATTAGTGTTGTCCAAATAAGAGACCGAGACGAGTCTTGGTCTTGCAAACTCAGTATTGGTCATGGCCTTGGTCTTGCGCAAGAGTCTCGCAGTTACTTATTAGTTTATTGCTATAGAGATATTACTATATTTTTTTAGATAGGAGAAACCTAACTAGGCCCGAATGAATAATTAGAGGAGTTAAATGCAAAAGTATATTGTTTATACCAATTATTTACATATAGTAACTAAGATTGTCAAGTATTAGTAACTATTTTTCCTTAGTTTTTATTTAAAAAATCGTTTTTTTTTTAAACAGTTCTGGTCTTAGTCTTGCAAAGTGGAAGACCAAGACCGATTTTGGGCAACACTACTTAGTATAAGTGGTAATGGAGTATCCCCAATGTGTCCAAGATAATAGTCTCTGCCATTATATCCCTTCCTACCCGAGCTTCTGCAAGAAATCACTTGTGGAATGAGGGATGGCTACTCTACTTCCGAACCATGAATCCTTTAACTGAGAAGTTTCTCTCTTCAAATTCATCCCTATATTTTTCTTTTAAGTAGGGTATGCATTTCTTGTAATTAGCTTCTTTCTCTACCAGCACCTTAAAGTCCTGATCTTTACTATTAGTTTTAAACCTGATCGCGGGATCCACTACAAACTTCCCTTTTATGTTGCATCAAACGCTAACATGTCAACGAATCTTGCAGAGCCTTTTGTATCTAGACTATAGACTTCTAAAATACATCCAAAGTTGTACATTTATAGGATTTCGGACAGCTGTTTCTTTATATCATTGGGCTGACGTGTTACAAGGAGCATGTTGTTCCGGCTTACTCTCGGCCACAATTGCGGCAGAAGGGTCTGTTGGTCTGGCTTCCGGTAGCTGGTACTCCACGGAGAAGAGCGTAATTGACGTGCAATTTCATAGCGTTTCTCCATTACGAGCCTGTGGGGACTTTCCAATCGAAAATAAAGTTATTGGCCCACGGTTGGAAATCAAATGTAATATTTAAATGGATAATTTTGAAATTGCTGCATTTATTTTCATAAAAAAATAGAGAAGGTTGACAGTGATATAATGTGAGAAGGAGATTCTCGGGGGCACGGTAGAAAAAAATACTAAATTTTAAAATTATTTTCGACGTTTCGACCCACTATGTAGGTCTTCAGGGCTAAAAAATATAAAAGGTACATGGTGAAAATAAAATTAATGAATTATAAGTAGATATTAAATAAGAAACAGTTGTCTTATAAAGAAATGATAAGATGACATCAGAGATATAGTGGGTGACAGTGTAGCTAAAATATCACGTATTACATTCATAGAAGATACTAACAAAAATAGAAAATAAGTGTGAATAAAAATAGACAACGAAGGTGAATAAGGCATGTTAGTTAAATGTAAACATATTGTGATAAAATATAGGAAATGAATGGATAACAAACTGGTAAAGGTTACATTGCATTTGATAACTGTAGGTTAACAGATAAAGAAAATAAGGGTTGACGAATAAAGAAATTCGTTTTATTAAAAAACATACTTTATATTCACCTTTGTTGTCTACTTTTATTCATACTAATTTTCTATTTTTGTTTGTATAAAAGTAGTATACAAACTATTTTTGTATACTAGTATACAAACTATTTTTGTATACTGGTATACAAAATATATTTTGTATACATACGTACTACTTGATATTTTAACTACACTGTCACCACTATATTTCTGATGTCAACTTATTATTTCTTTATCAGACAGCTGTTTCTTATTTAATATCTACTTATAATTCATTTATTTTATTTTCATCATGTACCTTTTATATTTTGTATCGTTTGCAGCCTTGATGAAGAATTACAAAGTGGGTCGCAATGAGATTAAAATACTATTTTAAAAAGTATTTATTTAAGGAGTTGGTCGGGTGATGCGGTCTCCTTCTAATATTTTTATAAAAAATTATTTGATAATAGATGTTATTAATGTTAAAATAGTGTTGAATAGAAATATGCTCTTGAAGATGAAACAGATTATGTTGCACCTACTAGGATAAAGTTTTTTTTTTTTTTTTAATAAAAACAATTTGAACAACGGACGTTTGCATTTGACATTATATATATTATATATATATATATATATATATATATATACTATATATATATATATACATATATATATAATAAAACGAAATTGATTTTCTTTAGGAATAATAAATCAATATATTTGACAGATTTCAAAGATATAATATATAATAATTTTATGTACCGAATAACTTTTTAAATTACTTGGATTTTTCTCATTAATTTAAAATTATTAATTATTTGTATTTTCTAGAATACTAAATATATCTAACCAGCCAGGTCCAAGACACTTTCCGTAAAAATTAACATCTAATAGCTCTACTTTAAAATTTATTAAGATAAAAAAAAAATTTTATCCTATCTCTAGATGACATTATAAACATCTTTTTAATAAAGATAAAATGAATTGAAATAAAAATTTATAATATCGTTTATAGAAGCAATTGGGTGATCTACATAATCTCTAAGGCGTCCTGAATGGCTACTTAACTCAAGCCCTAAATTGAACATTTATCGTTGGATTCATCTAAATAAATTATGCACAGAGACTATATCTCTGATTGAATCTGAAAGATCTTTTAGATAAATAAGAAAATAATCTACATATTTCTAGGTTAAGAAATTAGAAAGTGGTCGACAATTATATAAGCGAATTATATCTCTGAAAGTGCGATTATTTTGACTGATAAAATAAGTAAATTTCATAGCTACTTTTTTCATAATTGAATAGTTACTTATAAGATTTATCCATTAATAAGTAATTTTAATTATCTAAAAGTTTAAATTTCGCTAATTGTAATTACATTCATTAATTTGTGAAACTACTAATTATAGTAATTTATAAAATACAATTTTCGAAATCATTAATTTCAACATCTCGAACTTGCAATAAAAAATGTTGTTGTGCATTTCATATGAGCAAAGGTTAATAGCTTGTGCTTTAGTATCTCAAAACAGCGAAGCAGTAAATTAACCAAAAGTTTATTAATTGTCGATAATCGAATTTTCACCCGCAGTTTCACCGAAAAATTCAGAATGTTTTAACGATTCTTTCACTTTCACATACTTTCTCAGCATTTCATTTTTTAATACTAACCGTTGAAAAATTACAGAAGCATGGAATAATAAGTGTCTTGGCATTTCCTTTATGTGATAGTTTTATATTAATAATTATCCAATGAAGATTAATAATAATATTAATGACTACAAAATATTTTCATCTCAATGTCTTTGGAAGTACTCGTTTAATATTGCCGTTTAATTCTTGAAATAAGCGTTTCACTGACCGAGTTCGAAACCTCTCAGAAGGTAGTCATATTTAAACCGGCATTTTCAATTCGAAGTTGGTACAGTAAACCTTCTTCTCTTTTCGACATTCTTGGGCTAAGGAGCTATTTATTACAGTTAGATTTTACTGATGCTAGTTACGCTCTTTCCTTTTACAATCTTTCTCCAGACTTGTTAGTTTTATTTTACTTGCACCCAAACTTCTAAAATAATATCGTTTACTTTAGTATCCCTTGTTTCTTGTCCACTTCTAGCCAAATGGTTTGCATGATTTACTTCTTCATTGCTGCAAAATTTAGGTGTGGATTGAAACGAATTCGAAGACAAGCTTCTTCGATTTATTTTTCACATTCTCATATCTCATATCTTATCAACTATGTTCATTTTCCTAATTGAGGGAGTGCTTGTGTAAGAGTGATCAATGGCAACTAGAATACTCAAGGAGTCCATTACAACAACTTAGATTTCTTTGAATCTCGTGCCAAATAAGTGGCATTCATGATGGATGTCGAAGAATATGGAGCAATATTTCTACTATCTAAACTGGATCTTCAGGGCATAACAGTATTATAAAACGAGAAGAACTAATTTCGATTATTGACAACAAAGACTTTGTTCTGTAATAAGTTTAAAAAACTACATTTTGTGAATTCCATCGTTAGTTTTTCTGGCAGTTTTCAGTCTTGCTTCACCTCTTCATGTGCTAAGAAAATATAATTTGTATCAACTTCATCTTCTTATTTCTCTTCTAATTACTTATTTATTTTTTTTTAGCCGCGTAATAATATAAATTCAATTAATGCGATTTATTCAAAAAATATAAAATTTTCGAGTAGTCCATGAATTAAAAAAACAGATTATTACCTGTGATAGTTCTTTGAAGGATCACGGGTTCGTTCATTAACTTTTTAGACTGCTGGGATGAATTTCTTACTGCCTGAAACTTTTATAAGGATTCCGTGTGAGTCGCCTGAAATCCTTGTTGGGGAATCCTTTCTAAAGGGATAGTAAAGGTAACATTATTAAAGGGCAAAGGGTTGAGTAAAAGCCAGATTTTAAAATGAAAATCCGGCTTCGTCTTTTTTTGTTTTAATAAATTACACTTTTTTGACATTTCAACATTTCAGGTTTTGCTATATGATGGATCATGCCTTAAATCGTACAAAGTATTATAATAATAAATCGTCACAATGACACACATCTTGTCTTATATATTAACATTTTCCTATCCTCTATTTATGAATAAATATTGATTAATTATGAAAACATTGATTAAGATAACATTTAATATGAATAATGAAATTTGAAAAAAAGATGATAATTTATTTTTGGATATCTTAATTAGTATTTCTACCAGTTTATTGGTTAAAAAGGGGGCCGATTAGCTTTCATTCTCTTGAAATTAAAGAATTAAATTAAAATTTATTTCTTCAAGATATCTCCTAGTATTTCTCGTTAATGAAAATATCACGCACTTTACATTGAATCACTAATTCACACCATCCCTTGAGACAGATTGTAATATTTTGCAATAAATAAGTTTAAAAAAAAAAATCACATCATTACATATTTCACACCCTATATGAACAAAATAAGAAAGGTTAAAATTATTTTTAATTATATTTCTGTAGAATTAATTCCATGTCCAGTTCATGGATTTTAGAAGATTAAAATATTCTCGATACAACACGGACCATTTTGCGAAAATTGCGAAGAAACATTCAATTATTTTTAGTCTTTAGCCGTTTGAAACGAAAAGTAGTTCACCACTAAAATTAATAAACGGCTAAATATGAAGACTAATGTAATGTTCGAAATATTTTGCAAAATGGTCCATGCTGTATCGAGTATAATTTAAGCTTCATGGCCCCATGATCTCCTAATGTAAATATATCATTAGAGTGCTTCCATTGGTTAGTTACTCAGCAAGTGTTTTTCATGTCATTATATACATTATGTTCTAATTTACTAGATGTTTTATTTAATACAGTTGTAAATGTCTTTAAGAAATAAAAAAATAAAAAAAGCTTCTCAAATCCATGAACTGGCCAGTAGAAATAGAATTAAAAATAATTTTAACCATTTTTATTTTGTTATATATTATGTGTGTATATATATATATATATATATATATATATATATATATATATATATATATATATATTTATTTATTTATTTATCACGATATAGGCCACGCGTATATCACTTCCAGGTCTTTTAGGTCTTTTTCTTTTTTCTTTCTGCCCATATTCTTTTCATCTTTTCTCTCATATCCCTCCTTCTCTCCTCTGTCCACTTCCTATTCTCTTGCTTCCTCTTATTCGCTACAAGAATCCTCATATTCCTTACCATTTTTCAGAACTTTTCCTATCTTGGAAGTCCTCCTTTTTGATACCTATTTTTTTTTTACTTCTTCTCTTATTTGTTCCGAATAACCTATTCAGATCCAATCTCTTCATATGCCCGAAGAACTTTAATCTCCTTTTTCTCTTCGATGATTCCAAGTTTCCAATCTATTCATAAAGGTCGTCGTTATTTTTTAATCAGGTATTATTTTCATACT